GGAGAAAAGATTGAAGTTGTCAAGGACTTCATTCTTCTTGGATCAACTCTCAACACTCATGGAAGAAGCAGTCAAGAAATCAAAGGACGTATTGCAGTAGGCAAATCTGCTGCTTTTTTAAAGTGTTGAAGAGCAGAGATGTCAGCTTGAGAACTAAGGTGCGCCTGACCCAAGCCATGGTATTTTCGATAACCTCATATGCATGTGAAAGCTGGACAGTGAATAAGGAAGACCATAGAAAAATTGATGCTTTTGAGTTGTGGTGTTGGAGGAAAATATTGAAAGTGCCATGGGCTGCCAAAAAACCAATAGATCCGTTTTGGAAGAAGTGCAACCAGAGTGCTCCTTGGAGGCCAAGATGGCCAAACTTCGTCTCTTGTACTTCAGACATACTGTCAGGAAGGAGCAGTTGCCGGAGAAGGATACCATGTTTGATAAGGTGGAGGGTCAGAGAAAAAGAGGAAGACCCCCAATGAGATGGATTGGCCAAGTGGCAGCATCGATGTACTCAAGCGTGGCAACAGTAGTGAGGTTGGCCCAGGATTGGGCAGTGTTTCGTTCTGCTGTGCATAAGGTCGCTATGAGTCATTGCTGACTCGATGGCACCTAACAACACCACCACCAACAAATGTTGATGTTACCATGATCATCTTCTGTAGGTGGCACTGTGTTGAGAACACAGTAGGTGCTAGTTCGACAGAATACACTTTGAGAAATGTTCTTCTGGCTTGGTTTTGGCAGCCATTTTCCCTCCGCTACCCCATCTTCTTCCTTCTCCTTACGACCTGTACCCTGAGCGTGTGCCTTGTACCACAGCTAGGGCAGCCTTCCTGCCACACTGTTAGTTTTTACATGAATCCCAATTGTATAGAAGATAAAATTCTAGAATCAAGAAAGAGGGCCCAAGAGAGTCAGTCTTAACTTTCCATGATTTTATTTAACTTAAAAAATTTATTATCTGTTAGTGCTCTCACTTTAGATGTTTTTTGCATACTCGCCAAATTTAAAGTTACATACAAAAATCATTATTTACTTTTTAGTATCTGTTCCATCTTAGTACTTGCCTCCCCTGAAGAGATGTGCTGCAAGTATGTGAAGCAGGACAATATGTATCGAGTGGCCGTGTGAAGGGGACGCCTTATTTACTATAGAGTTCTGAAGAGTTCTACAATTTTTTCAGTTAATAGATCTTGATAATAGTTAAAAATTGGTTAATCTTCAAGTGGATCAGAGGTACATAATGATATATTAACAAACTTGGAACAACTGGGCTCTGGGATACAGGGATAGATGTATGGCTTGAATGGGTGAAAGAGGGGAAATAATGTTAAGATGCTTGGTTGTGTTTTGAATCTTAGTTTCCCTTGTACACCATTTAAAAATAGACACTTGAGGGGGAGAGATACGAATAGACAGAAATATCACCATAGAAAGTTTATAAGTCCATCTTCTACCTATAACTGATTGTTGTTGTTGTGAAGTGCCGTCGAGTCAGTTCTGACCCATAGCGATCCTGTATAGTAGGGTTTCCAAAGAGCAGCTGGTGAGCTTGGACTGCCAACGTTGCAGTTCAAACAGTTTTGCAGTTTGGTGCATTAATTGGAATACCTAAAATGGGGCTACAACCCCATTGGAATACCTAAAATGCCCAGTGAAAGAGGATTCCTGCAGAGCCTCTACATTACATAAGACCAAGAGGTGGAATTCTGAACCCCATCCAGAATCTTCTGAGGTGGGAAATTTCCACTTGAAAGGACAAGCAGACCAGCCTGGAGTGGCTAGAAGAACAGAAGATGCTTCTTGAAAGAAAGACCAACAGGAAAAATAAAAGACAGTCACAGCAGTCTGACCGACTACTACAAGAACAAGCAAGTTTCTTTCCCAGGAGACATCAAGGCAAGTGTTCAGGTCCCCTCAGGGCAAACCCCCTTCCAAGACTAAGACTCAAGGGGAATACACAAGCAGACATGTGTTCTGACTGGTGACCACATTGGTCGTCGATAAGGGGCAGTGAGAGAAAAACAGCAGTGAAGCTGCGAGCTAAGTCCTACCATGTTCAATAGATTCTTGTGAACCTGGGTGGAGACCTGGTTGGCCAGCAGT